GTGACTCACCTCTTGATCATCGAATCAGAATTTCAATCATGTTGTAATTATATAGCACACTCAGGAAGGATTATCTGATAAAGAGCAATTTTAAAAATACTATGGTAATTTTATAAGAGTAACAAAACTCAAGCAGGTTACATAGCCTGGGAGAGATGATAACCTGTTGACCAGTTGATGGTGTGTGTGATGTGTTTCAAATACCTTAACCATGACTTCCTTCTGGCCCATACTGCTCGAAAGCACTGAAGGAAAATAAGCAGGTATGGGAGGAAAGTTAGATTTGGAAAGACCTTGGGATTTCTTGAGTAAATTGTTATGGAGACGGCTCCCCCTAGTGTACTGAACAAAACAGGTACCCCAGTGTGTAAAAGCTGAGCTCAAGTTCAAGAGCCGAGTATCCTTGTCTCCAGACACCAATCTTATTTGAACAACTTGAGATCTCTCTTTGGCCACTCTTTTCCTTCCTACTGAAAAACCAATCACAGATCAGGGGAGAAATGGGTCATGTGTCCTTTACTCAATTTGACTTGAGCATCAGTCGTCATGGAAATACTGAACTGATCTGAGGTATCCAAATCATATTAAAAAGCACAAAACATTGTACTTGAAAAAGACTTTCTCATGAGGGATGCGAATGAAATTAGGGAGAATAGACAAAATTAAAAGATGGCTCCTTGTTAATTATTTTACTAAATATGTTATTTGCCTTCATCTCCTGTTTGACAAAATGTTAATCAAATATGTTTTTCTCAGGCAGGATGTATGGGCCCTTGGAAGACCAAAACATGAACCATAGCAGAGGGAAAGCACTCTTCCAATGCGGGAGAAATGCCTTACATTAAAGCAATGCTTTTCAAAGCATCATCTCCAGAACACTAGTTCCACAGGCTATTAATGGGTCTTCATAAGAGTTTCATGGCAAATAGTTTCGAGAAATGTAGGTTGACAAAATAAACTGATTTTTTTAAACTCCATATTCCTTGAGGCCCTTAGCATGCTCTTAAAATACCACTGTACTGTGTGACATTAGTCTTTGAACTTCAGTATTTCCCAAATTCACACGATGGTTTTTTTTTTTTTTGCCATGCTATCTCACACACCTGGTTCATGAATTATCCTTTGGGAACAGGCACTGGACTAGAATTTCATTAACTTTCAATCAAAGATGGAGAACAAATAGGAGAGTGCCAAAGGAGGAAAGAAAGCAGTAAATTTGATATAAGCAGCAAACAGGGTGGCTGTAAGGAAGTCTGTGGTTAGTGTCATAACTCTCTTTCATATATGAAACATTAGTAATGCAACATATTAAAGTCTCATCTCATGGCGGTCCTATAGTGGGGTCAGAAGGATTGGCCATGCTGAACACACCACCAGCCCACAAAATCATTACCAGATTTCTCCCACATCATCACAGCAGTGATGCCACTTCTGAGAATGAGAAACATGACTCCAGAAAGTACAGGACTCCATCCTATCAGGCTTTCAACTTTCACTGAAACTTTTCCTTGTGTGCAACCTGTACTGATTCACAAAGATGGTTTAAGCTCCTTATTGGTAACAGGATCACAGACACATAGGCTATGTTAAATGAGTTAGAGGGAGCTTGTATTTAGCAGAAGCTGTGAGTTAAAGATAAATCCTATAACTCACATGTAGACAAACTTCCAAAGAGAATGTGGAGAAAATTGGAAATCCACAGCGTGGTTTGTATGGATAACAGCACAGGATACAACACTGACTCACATCCAGTAGAACGAACTTCTCCTATCAGCTCCGTTCACATTTCAGAGCGCTGCTTTCCATCAACTCAGGTATGCTGGGCAAAAACACTTGGAGACAGGAGGGACTAGGGGCATCAATGGACCTGGACTTATGTGTAATTCTGTTCTCTTTTGCTGGGGACACAGCATCTTGTGGAGAAATCCTTGGTCAGCCCCAGAAGGACTGTGGCTCTTAGTCTCCTAGCACATGGGGGTGACTGGTGGGACAAGGCTCATCCCAGAAGCAGCTCTTGCTTTTCAGGGGACGTCCTATTTTCTTCCTAATGCTTTCCAGCTGGGTTGACTTCACACACGGGGAGGTCAAGTGATTTACTCAAATGCCCAGTGAAATAGACCAGCTGGGACTTGAACCAGGGAACTTCGCTGGTTCGCAGCCCTTGCCCCAGTCAGTCGACACTCTGCTTCCTGGTTTTCACCTCTTCTCCGAGTTGCCCCAGGCAGCCAGCGTGCTGTGTCTGGCGCAGCCCATCCTCCCGGCTGTCCCTGCTCAGAACTGGAATAAGAGGCGTGTTACAGGTCAAGCCTGAATGTTCTGGCAGTGCAGTGGAAGGCAGATTGCTCCATGCCTGCTCAAAGCATACACTGTCTGGCGAAAGCCAGATTGAAGATAGCTACACCCACACGCCAAGATTCCAAAAGGAAAAACTTAGCTCACATTTTTCCTTTGCATGGTGATTTTTCTTCCCTTCCTTTTTTTCCCTCTCTTTATTTCTTTCTGTCTTTTTTTTTTTTTAAGGGAATCCCCATGTTTACAAGTTGAAATCCAAAATGCACAAGTGGTCAGTTCACAATTCTGTGACCCATGAACATCTGTGGGCCTGGGTGTTCCCTGGGAATCTGCAGCACCGGAGCTCCGAGCCAAGCCTGCCCTAGGCAGAAAGGAATTCTCAAGTGAGTGGAGCAGTGAGTGAGTGAGGAGGCCTGCGAATGATCAGGGCCTGGTTACCCTCTAGTTCTGCTTTTCCAGGGGCATGTCTACACTCAACTTCAACTAGTTTTATGAGCTGCATTTGATTTTATTTTTTGAGATGGGTCCACCTGAAATGCCTTACAGTAAGTGGGACATGAGTCTTCATTTTGCCTTTAAGAAAACAAAACTCTATAATCTGAAATGGGCAAATGTGGTCCAAGTCTCTTTATCCAGAAACAAGAACCTCTGTGTCCTTGGAGTAGAGAGAGAAATCTAGAATGTTTATTTTGACACCAGTCTCTGAGGACTTACGTGATTGAAAACCAGTAGTGCCTCCCTCTGTGGAAGAGGAGCTGCCAGCCCCAGCCCCTGGGAGAGCCACAGAGGGCACCTCCCTGCACTGCCTCCAGCGGGCAGGTGGTACTGGGTATGGTGGAGTGTGCCTCATCATTTCCATTCCAGACTCTAGGTCAGTAAACAGACTCTGGCTCTATCATCATTTTATAGTTTTAATTTGGTAGATACTCAAAAGTTAATCAAACCCTCAGTGGAAAACGTGAGCCTGTGATGTATTCGCATCTCCCATCTGGACCTCGGTTTCCTCATCTGTAAAATGAGGGGATGGACCAGATGACTGCTGAGCCCCACTGCAGCTCTAGGGGTCTGTGCCTTTAGGCTTCCTTCGCTCCTAGTTGGAGTTTGGTTCATCTGCTCTAACTTTTCTGCTGTAATCTGGGTGTTACGGGCTGAATTATGTCCCCACGAAATTCATGTGCTGATGCCCTAACCTCAGAATGTGATTATACCTGGAGACAGGGCCTTTACAGAGGTGAGCAAATTAAACTGAGGTCTCCAGGGTGGGCCTTAATCCAATATGACTGGGGTCCTTACAAAAAGGGGAAAAGTGGGCACAGATGTGACCTTACGTGGAAGGAAGACCATGTGGAGAACACAGGGAGAAGACAGTCTTGTGCAAGCCAAGGAGAGAGGCTGCAGAAGAAACCAAGCTGCTGACACCTTGCTCGCAGACTTCTAGCCTCCAGAATTGTGAGAAAATAAATTTGCTGTTTAAGCCACTCTGTCGTGGAACTCAGTTACGACAGCTCTAGCCAACAAATGCACTGGGTTACAGCACAGTGGCTTTTCTGGGCTCTGAAAGAAGTTCTATGCGTTTTTCCTAACAGAATTTTCATATTGGTTTCAGCTTAACATAGACTTTCCTTTCGCAGGATATTCAAAATACTTTTTAAAAAGTCAAATTCTTTGTCAGCAGATGGAAGTAAATCATTTTAGTAAAATAAATCCTCTTTATTTTTACTTGAAGGGAGTTTCACAATTTTGACCCACAGAACTATCTTCCTGAATGGCTGTGAATCACCATTTTGCCTTTTAAAGAATCCTGCCATTATGTATAAAATTCATTTAAGGCCAAATAGCTCACTGGATAAGGCCGCAGGTAGCAGCACATTTATAAAGAACTTCAGACCACACAAGCAGCTCTGGAGTGGGCAGAGTCCTGGTTTTGTTTAGTACTTTTGCCTTTAAAGTTCACTCAGAGTCAAACATCCCGTGACCGGGTTACAAGCAAACAAATTAAATGATAAAGAAAGGTAATCACTTATCAATTTGCTGTTTAAGACTCTAGGATTCTTATTTGAAGTGAAACATGTTATTATCAAAATGAGTTTTTCTTTCACTTAGTACCAAGATTCGGGTTCTTTTCTTCTACAAAACAGTCACATGGAGTTGGACTGGATTTCCAGCATCTAGAAAGCATGGGGATTTCACGCCCCCAACCCCCACTCCATAAGTCCCATCTGATGCAGCAGTGAAATTTCCCAGGAAGAGCATTTCTGGATCAGAACTTGCTCCCTTGGGAGATTAGGATCATCCAACTTTGGAGGCTCTACACGTCTGAGAAAAAGATCAGAGTACATGCCAGGAGACGTGGGACGGCACAGCCTTACTTTCCCACGTTATTGCAGGCGGCCAGCGTAGATACCCACTATCGTGGTTGAGGATTCTGATGAAGCATCCTGACACCTAACCAACCAGTGCCCATAGCAACGAAGCCAGCAGCTGTTTTGTGTCATCTCATTACAAGAATAAGAGTTTCTAGACTTTTAAAAATACATCTTTTCAAAAATCACATCTTCAGGAAAAGGCTTGGCCAACTAAGAACTTGAGGGGGCTGTGAGGAACTGCAGGCACGTTCATTTCCAGCTATCAACAGAATGGAAAAAATTTCCACTTATTTATATACATTTATTTACTTGGGTAATGAATAAGTTAAGGAACACTTCATCTCAAACACAGATTGCTTTTATTTTAGCTAAGCTAATGTTTCAGTTCCATATATATTTTTGAATTTCCATCAATGTCAAACACCATTTTTTTCTTTCTTCTTAAAAAAAAAATGATTTACAAGCACTTTGACAGCACTCAAGAAAAGTAGGCTGAAGGTTCATAATAATAATTTTCCATTTAAAAAACATCCATCAGACCAAAATAAAATCATTTTAATTAACTCCTTCCTGAGTAACTAAAACCTTGGAATGTGCTGAAAGGTTATAATAAATAAGGCAGTCAAAGATCAACCAGCTTAAAATGTATTTTTTAAATTAAACTATGTAAAATGTACAATATATTTCATGAAGTACAAACCGTGTTGGGCTCAGGGCCAAAGAAATGTTGTCATGTGTCCTGAATAAACTGATGAAGTGCCTTGACTTTTAGGATCCAGAGGCTGTTTGTTGGGACACAATCACACTAAGGCCCTGTAAGTAAATCAGTCCACATCTTTCGTTGTGATGTTGTAATGATCACTACTGGCAATAAATGCCTTTGAACACACAGCTAGCAGGGCTCACAGAACTTGCACTAAAAGGATGCTTTTTTTTCCCCACATGACCAATTGTCCTGATGTTCTGACAACATCAGAGAACACTAAGCCAATTTTATTTTCAGATGGTGAGATTGCACAGTGTGTAAACTAACAATCACTCTTTATATGTGATTTCATAGAAGTGACTCACAATGCAGAGGGCAGCCACTCCTGCTCTTATTTTGAATATGACAGTTGTCCTCCACGTTGATTTTTAAAGTAAGTCTAGCGGTAGGGCCCTGGCCTCTCTAAACAGTACAAAAGGATACTTCCTCGTCTAAGAACGTTCCCCTTACTCACTTCCCTGCCCCAGGTCTCTGAGGCAGGAAGGAGGCTCACAAGTGGCCAGGTGCTGGACTTTGTGCCTCCACGGTCCCAGCCTTCACTGGACTCCTGCGGGGTGGAGCCTTCTCAATACCCCTCATGATAAAGTAGCTTTAGTGTGTATTCGACAGGTTCCAAATGACTTGCTTTATATCTTGGCTACTGTCCAATTTTAGTGAACAAAGGAAAAATTCTAGAGAGATTTGTTGGTTTCTGAAAAGCAGAAAATGTGTAGCTTGTGTAAAGTCAGAGTCTTATTTACTATTAAATATTCCCAGCTCACACTTTGCTAGCGCCCTCGAAGGGCTGGCTCTAGGGGAAAAAACACAAAGGAGACAAAATTTGTCACAAACATCCTGCCTGCCACCACCACCTGCACCCCTACTTCTCAGCTGGCTGTATACTGTCCACCCAGGAGTATATGTATTTTGTGGGGGATGGGGTGGGGGCAGGGCTGTCAAAGATGAAAACATTTCAGAATCCAAAGAAACAGGTTTTCTAAGGATTGACCCAAGGCATCATGGAGAGGTGGCAGGTGATGGGAGTGGGATGGAAGGAGATACTGTGGAGCCATGGAACTGCCCAGCTTCTACTCAGGTCACTTAGGGGGCAGACAGCAATTTATAAAGCTGGGCAAGCAGTCTCTTACCCAGAAGCTCTTGCTTCTCTTCCCGATGTCCCAGTCAGGGTTCTCAGGAGTGAGCTGATTCCATTGTAAATGGGACTGTGGTTTCACAGCTTCCTGCACAGAACTCAATACCCCTTTTTACCAAAAACAGGTACCTCTTAAGGGACTAAACGGTGAAAGATATCAGCCACTATGCGACCCAGCTGGCCAGTAGTGTGCCTGACAGATCATACACTGTCTGTGGTCAGGCTTAGAACTTATGCCACAGCAGTCAAATGTCAGAGTTAAACTGGTTCCTGGGTTTCCAGCTCAAGCAATGTTGGTAGGAGACATGTTTCATATTGGGTGCAAAGGGCACCGCCACTTCCCTGTGCCACATGACCTCCAGAGTTGTTGTCTCACCATACTCTTCCTTACACAGCCAATAAATTCTTCTCCCTGCTCTGCTGCTTTGAAATCTGTCAGGATGGTGCTTGGAAATGGAATATCTCAAAAGAGCCTGCCATGCACTTTGACCTTGAAAGGTATTCAAGGCTCTGGACTGGCTAAAGATATGGCACAAGCCGACTTGCTCTTTCAGAGATGAGAAGTATGCTGCTCTTGGTGAAAGTGTCCCCTGAGATGGACCAGAGGCAGATTTCTGCCCGTGTGGGCAGAAACCACTTTTCCAGGGACATCCTCTTTTCTGATGTCCTCATCTGTCTTACCATCTCCTGTTAGATCCTTCTAGAGTAGATGCCCTGGTCTCTGAAGTGGTTTTGTGTTTCTACTGAAATACATAAGTCTGGATGTTTCCTACCACTGAGGTAATATCTTTACTAGTCATTTTACAAATGATAAGTTATTGGGCCATAGGCTGTATTTCTCCCCCTTCTCTTCTTATACTAGGGGAAGAAAACCTGTTTAAAGATGAGATGCCTTGTGGTAGAGCCATCTAGTGTACCCGGGAAGGACCCGAGGAGCCAGAAAAACACAGAACAGAATTAAAACAAATAAAACCCGCAAAACCGGGCATCCCCCAATGACCCCAACATGTGGGAATGGTTTTGTTCTTTTCAATGCAGCCGAGCATTGATTTAGTCCCTTCGGATTTTTTTTCCCCAAACAAAAAAAAAAAACTTTCTGGAAAAGGGCGATTAAGCCACTGGAGGCAACCCAGCGCTGGCATCACCTCTTATAAATATCTTCCAGCCACTTCTCGTCGTCCTGTTCCTCGTCATCCACCGGCTCCTCGGTTTCCAGTGGAGTCGGAATAAAGAACTGGGGTCTCAGGGCGGGACGGCTGACGCGAGACTTCAGTCCGAACTTGCGCTTCAGCAGGTGGAACTGCTCCTTGACGTAGTGGTAGAACTCGTACTCGTATCTCATTCGCTGGTAGAGAATCTGCACGGCCTCGGGGGAGGGAACAGTCTTCTTCACGGTCACAGTCATGTTTCCAAGTTTCCTATGCTCTGGAAGAGAGGCGGGGTTGCCCGTGAGCCACGGTCTGTAACAGCCGCAGCTGCGAGGGGGTGATGGGGAGGTCCCGTATCACCGGCAAACACTGGCAGCCCCTAAGGAAAGAACTTGAACATCCAAGGACTGGAAGGGGAAAATGGCTTCCCAGCATCTGGGAAGATTTCACCATATTCCAGGTGTCAATACCAACACCAGCTGAGTAAACCTAATCTAGCTAACATCCCTTTCAAGGGATGTTGAACTATGTTTGGACCACAATTCAATTGCTAGCTGTAAGTTATACATTCTTTTGAACAGCAAAATCTACCTGCTTTTCATGTTTTATTTCAGAAGAAAGCACAGAAAAAAAGCTGTCTTACTCCTTTTTGGCGATCTTGGTTTTGTATTTTAAAATACTGACACCTATGATTTAAAGTTTAATTTGACACAAATGCCACTGCATTTCACTATTTCAGCAAGGTATTTGTCAAGAAAAGTAAAGGCAGGACTGTTGAATTCCCTAAATACAATTGTAACTGTTGTAAATATTGAATGATTTTTTTTATTGTGGTAAAATATACAACTAAAATTTGCTTAATTTTATATTAGTGCTTAATAATAGAAAAATGTTATATATATTATATATATTTATATGACAAAATTTTAACCATTTGGAAGTGTACATTTTGGTGGCATTAATTACATTCACAATACTGTACAGTTATCACTGCTATTTCCAAAATTCTTTCATCTCTCCAAACAGAACCTCTGTACCCATTAAACAGTAACTCCCTTATATCCCTCCTCTTCCCACCCTTTCCCAGGTAACCTCTAATTACTACTTTCTATGAATTTCCGAGGTAACTCATATAAGTGGCATCACACTATATTTGGCCTTTTATGTCTGGCTTTTTTCACTTATATGTTTTCCAGGTTCATCTACTTCATAACATGTATCAGTACTTCATTAATTTTTATGGCTAAATAATATTTCCTTGTATGGATGTACCAAATTTGTTTATCTGCTTATCCGTTGAAGGATACTTGGATTTCTTCTACATTTTGGCTATTATAAATAGTGCTGCTATGATTGTATAAAAGTCTTTGGATCCTTGTTTTCAACTCTTTTGGGGATTCTATCTAGGAATGGAATTGCTGATTCACATAGTAATTCTATGCTTAACTTTTTAAGGAACCACCAAACTGTTCCTTAGTGGCTGAACCACTCTATATTCCTACCAGCAATGTCTGAAGGTCTCAATTTTTACAAATCCTCCTCTACAACTGTTATTTTCCATTTTCAAAAAATTATGGATATCCTAGTAAATGTGAAGTGGTATCTTGTTGTGGTTTATTTTCATTTCACTGATGGTTAATAATACAGAGCATCTTTTCATGTGTTTGTTGGCCATTTGTATATCCTTTTTTGAGAAATGTGTATGCAAGTCCATTGCCTAATTTTGAATTGGATTGTTTAATTTTTTGTTCTTGAATTGTAAGAGTTCTTTATATATTCTGGATATTATGTGTATATATCAGGTATATGGTGTGCATATATTTTCTCCCAGTCTGTAAGTTGTCTTTTTGCTCTGCTGATAGTTTTCTTTGATGCACAAAATTATTTAATTTTAATGAACACCAACTTACCTATTTTCTCTTGTGTTACCTGTACTTTTGGTGTTATGTTTTAAGAAATCACTGCCACACCCACAATCATTATGTTTTCCCATGATTCTTTTATCATGCAACTTTTAACTAAAACTTTTGTCACCAATTATGAGTAGGTACATTATTTATTTAATATAAGTCCAAATGGCTGTTTCCAAAATCAGATTCCTTCAACAGGACAAAGACTTGTCATGTTTGAGTATATTTGAAATACTTTCTGAAGCCTCCAATAGCAATTCTAAAGAAGGAATTAAAAAAAATTATCCGAGTAGTAATGGCCTCATTGAAATAAGAGTATTGTTTTCCAAACTGAGTCTCTTAAAAGGCTTAATACACTTTGGGATCAGGTCTAGAATTTTTGTTAAAGAACTTGGCATAGTGTCTTCTAAAGTGGGTTTGTGATAGAACATTTTATAATATCTGTCTTCTTTACAGGTATTAACTATGGCTAAACTGAGGCGAGACATGTTAATAGGCTTTGAGTATAAATATCCCTTTGAGGTTTTAAAAGACAGAGTTTTAAAAGCTGGTGTTAAAGACAGACCAAGAACGAAGAGATTTAAACACTGAGAGGCTCGGGAAAAGAATTCATTCATTTTCAGACTCCTATGATCCCTTCCTCTTGAATCATTCCAAATTGTGTGGAGTTTTGTTATTTCATGCTAAGAAAATATTAGGATTCCTGTGATTTTAAAATAAACTCTAGTTAAATTATTTGACCCAACCCATTCCAAAAAGAATGTAAAATTATTTACAAAAATAAATAAGCTGCAATTAGCTAAATAGTTAAGGAAATGGGGCAAAGGGAGAATGAGGGTAGGAAAGAAAAAAGGAGAAAGATCAGCACTGGGGATAATGGCTGCCCCTCCCCATGTGGAAGGATCTCCCTGGAGTCATACTCCTGCCCCTTGCCCAAACCCCTCTATCATCATGGAGGTAGACCAGGTACCAGGGCCAGAGGGTTTTCCTGATTGTGCATTAGGATAAAGGGTTGAGGTGCTCTCTCTTTTGCAGAGACTTCACATCCCCCTGTAGAAGAGGGTGAGGGCTTCCAGCCCTGCCTGTGACTTGGTGGGCAAGTCTGTCCAACTCTGGATGGAATGTTACCAGTCCATTTTTCCTCACACCCCAGCTGCGTTCTCCCATGGGCTCAAATCAGTAATAAAGCTGACATTTGGATCTCCAGCTGTCTGTCTCCAGTATCCATTTCTCAATTAGCTTAGAACCCAGGCAGGGGAAAATGGGTATTATTTATTCATCCCTCAGACTCCAATATTGAGTAACACAAAACATATGTTGTAAAGTCCTAACTACTTGTGGAGGAGGTGGGTTTAGAGTTTGGCCCTAAACTTCCTAGCAGCTAACAAAGAATTTAACATATATATTAGTCTTCATGTAAAACAATCTATTCACCTCTATTCCTTGTTATAAACCATAGAGAAATACCTTCTATGAATTTTCAAAAGAAAAAACTGTAATGGAATTAGCAACATTTTAATAATATCCTTAGAGCCAATTCAGCCACGAGTGTCCTGGGTGCCAGAGGAAAATGACACATGTCAGGTTCTCAGCTCTGGCCTGATCTGGGAATATACTTCAGTCAATCTAGAGCAGAGGTTCTTCACTCTTCTGAAAACTCAACTAAAGCTTGTGTTCAAGAAGACAGGAGGGTACATGGACTTCTGGAAGCACATACATGAATATCTTCAGTATTATAGGTCTGTTAAGAACCCCTGATTTCGAGAAATCAGTAAACTGCATTTCCTTCCACAATCTTCCATATATCTTGCTTGTTCTAGTAAATATTAGCCCCAGTGTATTGATAAATACTGGAATTAGTTATTTTATGTGCTGGTCTGGTATATAGTCATAAACATTGTAACAGCAAAGAGAAGAGGACTTGGATTTACATTTTATGAAAGGGGAGGGGCTTAAGCGTGCCTGGAACTTAAGCAGAAGGTGGCTCTACCATGTTTTGGAGGAAGACTCAGAAGAGTAAACATAGAGGAGCACTGATCTTTGTAAAGAAGTAATTTGGGATCTCCTCTATTGCAGGCCTCAGAGCTCTTTAAGGTTGAAACACTGTTTTCCTAAAAATAATGTACAGCAAGTGTAATTCGCTAACCACAAAGCCACCCCCCAGGAAAGTACTTACTGAATTTTTAACTGAGAACAAGATAACTTCTTAGCCTAGTCTTCAAGATATATTAGATGCAAAATATTAATCTATTTAATGGACTGAGTGGACTTGCTCTAATGGGTTATTCATATCAAGGCAGTAAAATTTTGTGAAGATTTTAAAAAATGATGGCATGATAGGTTTATATGTTTCCCTTTGATTATAATTAGGTAACTGGGTCCACTGCTTTAAAGCTACTCCTGGTTCATCACAACAAAACTCTCTTCCCTGCATGTTCTTCTCTGTGGTTGGGGATGGGCAAGTTGGTGGGTGGGGAGAGCAGGTAACCAGCTCTACCAAAAGTGACAGTATGCCATTCAAGCACAAGTGAAAAGAACCAGGATACGTTTACATCATTAGTTAACTGATTTGTCAAGAGATCGGGACAGTTCCAGTTGAGCCTGATCCCTTGTGGCATATTTTTATAGTAACAGCTCCATTTAGTGAGGACTGAAGTGTACTGAGCACTAAACTAAGCACTGAAACATAGAATTGTATTTAAGCCTCACATTAACCCCTCAGTGGAAGAGCCATGTAATAGATGAAGAAACTGAGGCAGAGCAAGACTCTGGCTCAAGGTCATGCCGCTGGAAAGAGGCGGAGGCAGGAGGGTCCACAGGATAATCAGTTGCTGTGCTTTTGCTGCATTGTTTTGGGCTGAAGGCCAGAAACCTTATCATTGTTCCTCACATATTTCTCCACAAGCCATGGAGCGGACCCATGGTCAACAGCTGGGCCTAGAGCAGCCACGCCTCATGGGATGGCGGAGCCCACGTGGTAGTAGATCTTGCAGGAAGCAAACAGGCATTTTAGTGGGAATGGCTAATGTGTTTATAATCTGGAGGAAGAGAAAGGTTGATCTGAAAAAGAAATTTGAGGAGGAGAGAGGGTATAGCTCAGTGGTAGAGTGCGTGCTTAGCATGCACAAGGTCCTGGGTTTAATCCCCAGTACCTCTGTATAAATAAATAAATAAAAACCTAATTACCTACCCCAAAATAAATAAAATAAAATAAAATAAATAACATAAAAAAGGAAACTGAGCTAGGTCATCTCTGAGTCCAGTAAGAAAGGCCAACACCCAGAGTCAATGATGAAAATGAACATAATCATCAACCATTATTTGGAGAGTTTCTCAGTTCCAGGAGACTTCCTGGTGCTTTACTTAG